AGTCTTATGGCAACCTTTGAATGGAAATTTGGTTGCTACAACTTTGTCCATGCAACATTTATTGTGCATGGTTGGATGATGACTTTGGAGCCCATTGCATTCATTGTGGGTGGTTGGCATTTGGCTATAAAAGGCCATTTGGCCATTCGGCAAATCACACAAGAAGAGCAATCCAAAGCAAAGTGAGCTCTAGAAAATACAAGAGTTTTGTGAGTGCTTTGGGTGAGGGTGAGCAAGAGCAGAGTGATTAAAATTACTTTGCTGAGTGTTTTTTTGAGTGTGTCTCGCATTCAAAAATACTGTAAGATTTGGGTGTAATTATTGGGTATTTTTCTGAGAGTATCACAAATTGTATCTCCCTATTTTAATAGTAAATTTTTCCTTGTGAGTGCTCGTGGACATAGGCTCAATTAAATTGGAGCTAAACCACGTAAATTCTGTCTTTCTTGTGGTGGTGCAATTTTTTTTTATTCCATTAATTTCCTAATCTTGTAATGGGTTAACCAAAATCTCAAGCAATTTGTTCCAACAGGAAGAAATGTGGAAAGCAATCTTTCAAAAACAACCAAAGTTTGATTCGCGTCCTCCTGGCTATGAAGAAAAATCTGTTTTAATTTGTGCACAGAAGCTTGCCTCCTAACTAAAGGAAAAGAGCAATGACAACTGTCCCTGTCCCTGTAAGTTAATGGGCCAAGTTTGGGTGGAAATAATGTGCTATGCAGCTATTAATTGCAGTCCAAATGTGCATACACAACATCCAAGTCAAGGTGGAGAACTCATCACTTTCGTTTGGTTGTCGATGAATCATTTGGGTCTTGGAACACAATTTTCAACTCAAGAACGAATTTCATATCTTGGTGGTATTGATGTTTGATTCCTATATCTGTGTTTTCTTATCCTTTCTTAAATACTGATTTCCTAAGCTTATTAATGTTTTAAAGCGTGTGTATCTCGATTTGGTAGTTCATTGTATTAAACTATTGCTGATTTGGTGATGATGCCTTATAGCTTCCTGCAACACAAAATCAAAGATTCCTCTTAATGTTTTTATCATTTTTTAAATCTTTTTGTATTTGTTAGAAACTGAAAAGAAGGAAAATACTTGAAGAAAGGTTTATTGTTTTCTTGAATAATACTGTATGTATAATAACCTATATATAGGTGTTTACAAAAAGAATATTTTAAAGTATAAAGTATATGAAGAGAATATTTTAAGATATGAAATATTTATAATAAGTGTGAATATGATCTAAATTATTGTGTTCATATCTTAACATACCCCCTCAAACTCAAGGTGTTGTGATGAAACCAACTTGAGTTTGGAAAAAAGAGTACAAAAGTGTCCAAGAAAATGAGCTTTGGTGAAAAAAATTTGCTAATTGATCAGCGGGGCCAATGAAAACCAAACAAATAGTTCCTTATGCAGCATGATGGCGAACAAAGTGACAATCAACCTCAATGTATTTAGTGCGTTCATGAAAGACATCATTATGAGCAATTTGCATGGCACTCTGATTGTCACAATAAAGATTAGTAACAGGTGGTTGAGGAACACCCATATCTTTTAGTAGCCAACGTAAATTGAGTAACTCTAATGTGGCATCTCCAAGTACTCGATATTCGGCCTATATGCTAGAATGTGATGGAATTGTCTACTTCTTGCTACACTAAGAGATTATGGAATCACTAAGAAAAAGACAATATCTAGTGGTGGATTTACGATCATTAGAGTCTCTAGCTCAATCAACATCAGAATAAGGACGAAGCTCAAGAGATGAATGAGCAAAAAAGTGAAGCCCATGAAAAATGGTACCTTTAATATAGCAAATAATGCAAAGTACTGCTGCATAGTGAGTGGAGCAAGGCGTAGCCATAAACTGGCTAACAACATGAACTGCATAAACTATGTCTGGTCGTGTTGTAGTAAGATAAATCAAACCTCCAACCAGCTGTCTGTAGCAAGTAGGATTAGCTAATAGAGAACCATCTATGAGTGTAAGTTGAACATTTGGCTCAAGAGGAGTAGATGTAGTCTTACTGTCAATGAGTTTAGCTTTAGATATAAGATTAGAAGCATAGTTCCTTTGGGAGAGAAGATAACCATCATCAGAAGAAGTGAACTCAAGTCCAAAGAAATAGCTTACAACACCAAGATCTTTCATCTTAAACTTATGACTAAGAAATTACTTAAGATCATGAATACCTAAAATATCATCCCCAGTAATGATCATATCATCAACATAAAGAAGTAGTAGAACCATATCATGATTAGTCTTACGTATGAACAACGCAGTATCATGAGGACTAGAAGTAAAACCAAATTAACTAATGGTGGTACTAAACTTGGCAAACCAGGTTTGAGGTGCTTGTTTCAAACATATAGAGTTCGCTTCAATTTGCAAACTTTGTTTGGAGGATGCTCAAGTCCAAGATGTGGTTTCATGTAAACTTCCTCTACAAGATCACCTTTTAGAAAGGCATTTTTCACATTCATTTGAAACAATTTCCATCCATTTACAACAACAATAGCAAGCAAACTACAAAATGAAGTAGAACGAGCAATAGGTACAAAGGTTTCCTCATAATTAATCCCCTATTCTTGAGTAAATCCTTTAGCAACCAAACTAGCCTTGTAATGCTCCACAGAACCATTAGACCAAGTTTTGATCTTATACACCCATTTACAACCTACTAAAGGCTTTCTAGTAGGAAGATCAACTAAATCCCATGTATGAGTTTTCTCAAGAGCTTGTAATCCATCTTGCATAACTTGCTACCAAAAAGGGTTAAAAGAGGCCTTTTGATAAGATTGAGGCTCATATAAGGAGGTAATAGTAGGAAAACAATCACGAAGATAGCTAGGAAGATTTCTTACTTGAGTAGGACAATTCGAAGATGGATTAAGGATCTCATTTTTAGGCTCAATATCAACAAGGTCAGACAACAGATGATGCATAAGAGGTAAAGGAAGAAGACTCACCATTGTTTAATGCATTACCAACAAGTAAAGCATCTTCTATAGAACCAGGTGTAGCATGTGAAGAGGCGTCATGGAGCTCACCAAATATATATGTATAAGAGTCATTAAGAAATAACTCAATAGAAGGGTTAATAAAAAGTGAAGGTTGATCAAAAGATGACACCTGGAAGTTTGATAATGAGGAAAACATAGTGTGTTCCCAAAAGACAACATGACGTGAGACTTTTAGTTTTTGTGACATAGGATCCCAACAACGATATCCTTATGTGTAATCCCATAACCCAAAAAACAACATAATCAAGCTTTAGGCTCTAGTCTGTTATGTTTATGAGGTGGAAGAAGAACAAAACAAAAATGTAATCATCTCTATACTAAATAGCATGGTGAAAGTGAAACTAAAAATATAACACTATTTTGTGCAGACCTCTTCTAAGGAAGGAATAAGCATCATTGACAGTGGTGTAGATGATGATGCTATCTTTGGCCTTTCATCATCGCGGCTTGCTTGACGTGATCTTGGAAATGCTCTTTGAGCATCCAAATATTCAAGTGAATCTCTAGGATAGAGTTATTTTGCTTGAGAGAATAATAACCAAAATGTTTATCCTCTTTATTTTCTGATAACAAATAAAAGGGTAAATACCCTTTTTGGTCCCTCTATCATGGAAAAAAAACCCCTTTTTAGTCCCTATACTAAAAAAATTGCCTCTTTGGTCCTTAAAGTTCGAAATTCAACCCTTTTTTAGTCCCTTCGTTAAGTTTTGGCTGATATGGCAGGTTAATTAATAGAAAAACTTATTTTTTTTCTTTACTTAAATTACATGGAAAATCCATCTAGCAAAAATTAATGACATGGCCAAATTTTTGGTCTAATATAACCTTAAAAATCATTTAATTACATAATTACCATTAGAATTATTTTAAGGTTAAACCCCCATTTTGGTCCCTTAACTATTGTACGGACCCCCGACTTAGTCCCTCAACTCAAAAAATCCCTGATTTAGTCCCTACTGTTTACCATTTTTACCCCGATTTGGTCCCTCCGTTAAAAATCACATTACTTATGCTGTTAATTTACTGTTATATGATGACGTGGCAAATTATTATACACGTGGCAAATTATTATAATATAAAAATAATAATTAATAATATGAAAAATAAAACTTTAAAAAACTCTTTTTTTTTTCTTTTTTCTTCTCTTTCCCCTTCTCTTCCCCTTTCTCTTTACCCTTCCCCCCCTCAGAAACCCAGCAGCCGGC